CATACCCAGCTAATTTTTTTTGTATTTTCATAGAGACAGGGTTTCACCACCTTGGCCAGGCTGGTCTCGAACTCCTGACCTCAGTTGACCCACCCGCCTCCACCTCCCAGAGTGCTGAGATTACAGGTGTGAGCCACTACACCCAGCAGAAAACATGTTTTTATGAGGGTTTAAATCCTTGGATTTATGGGAACCAGGGAGGGTATGAAGAAAAACAACAGCCCACCGAGGTGGCTCACACCTGTACTCCCAGCACTCTGGGAGGTGGAGGCGGATGGGCCACCTGAGGTCAGGAGTTCGAGACCAGCCTGGCCAACATGACGAAACCCCATCTCTACTAAAAATATAAAAATTAGCCAGGCGTGGTGGCATGTGTCTATAATCCCAGCTACTCTGGAGAGGCTGCGGCAGGAGAATCACTTGAACCCAGGAGGTGGAGGGTGCAGTGGGTAGAGACTGCACCACTGTACTCCAGCCTGGGCAACAGAGTGAGACTTCGTTAAAACAACAACAACAAAAAACAACAAAAATAACAGTAAGATTCTCTACAAGTTGTTCTTGTTGAGTTAGAAAAATAAAAGATTCTCTACAAGTTTATCACAGAATGCAGTTCACTAGAAATGGTATAGATAAGCTTTGTGGTAACATATGCCTGGATTTACCAGATATATGTGTGATCCAAGCCAATTTACCTAAAATACCTAAACCCCAGACTCCCCACGTAGAACAGGAATACTTACCAACTTTACAGAGGAATTATGAAGATAAAAAGTTAATGGATCTGATATAGCAGATGCTTAACAAATCTGGTTTTCTTTCCCCTCCCAAATTCACTGCTTTTTACATGACCAAACTTTCCTCATATGATGGCCAAGTGCCTGACCTGTTACTAAATCTAATATTGACAAATATAGCTAATGCCAACTGTTTGCCAAAATGCGTTTTTGCCACCAAACTATCTTGTGAATATTTAATTTTTAAGAGCCTGAATTCTAAAAATGTGTGATTAAAAATAAGCGTATGTTCAGCTTTATGGAAAAGTTTCACAAAACAAAATTTAATCCTAAAACTACTACAGTATTGTGAAATGAGAGTGGATATTGGCTAGGCATAGAAACTAACAATTACTGCTTCTGAATTATTCTGCTACAAAACTGCTTAATTTATTTGAGGATGAAAATAAAAATTAAAAGCAAAACTGAACTTGTATCTGTTTTATAGTCAGAAATCTGGCTTTAGGATTTTTTGAAAAGTACTACTTGTTACATTTTCCATTAATATGAAATATCAACATGTTATAAGCCCAGAAAATGATCTTTAAGGTTCCTTTCAATAATAAAATATTCAAATATCTGTCAGGTTGTTGAGCAACTGTAGAATAACTGGATATCACTTTTAGGCTGTTAATCAGAACCTAGTAACTGGCAGAAACTAACCTAAAACTGACTTCTCCATGGTAATCTCAGGAGCCTCCCTCAATGCACATACCATACAAAAGCAATCTACCACCTATGACTCTTATACATTTTTTTTTTTTTTTTGATACAGAGTCTCACTCTGTCGCCCAAGCTGGAGTGCAATGGCACGATCTTGGCTCACTGCAACCCCCATCTCCTGGGTTCAACCAATTCTCCCTGCCTTTGCCTTCTGAGTAGCTGGGATTACAGGCACCCACCACCAGGCCTGGCTAATTCTTTTGTATTTTTAGTAGAGACGGGGTTTCGCCATGTTGGACAGGCTGGTTTCGAACGACTGACCTCTGGTGATCCGCCTGCCTCGGCCTCCTAAAGTGCTGGGATTACAGGTGTAAGCCACTGTGCCCGGCTTTAATTTTTAATTTCTAACACAGAACAAACATTTGCCAGTGGAGACTGCCAAACTGTTTCTATGACTGTCTCTCCTAGCTATTTTCAGATACTGACAAGGCATAATGTGTGAGGACTAATAAGATTCTTTGTACTAATATACTTTGTTTTCTTCAGTGGCAGTTCAGACAGAGGGTACAAAAGCTGATCTTTTAGCTGGTTCAAGTCTGTATTAAAAATTTAAACCTGTACAGGATTTCTAATCACTTAACACATTTTCCAATGGGGAAGAAGCTTGTACTAGGTATAAAATGCTGTGTAAATCCTTGATTTAAAAAAGAATTTACTTTACTTAATTTGGCCTGTTTAAATATTGTACTTTGGCCCTAGTCTCTTGTCCCACTTGTGCTTAAGTAAACAAAAATGTATTAACCATTTCAGCTGATATAAGTAGGCAGGCATCTTGTGTTCACATTTATATAATCAGAAGCAAAAACTTTGTAAGCTATGTATTTACTTGGTTGGACTGAATGTGTATATATATACAGAAGTACAGACAACTAAGAAATAAATTACGTAATTCACACAAAAAATCTCCTATTTCTTATCCCTATTCCAATGAACAAACTACAAACCAAAGCACTTCTAAACTATCTTCCAACTACCAAGAACTGAAACCAGAAGTATATATTTGTATGTGTCAATAAATCTCATAAATTCACAGATTAAATGAAGGACAAAACCAGCTTATTTCCAGACTGCCAACCCTATGATTTTAAGGCTTGCATGTACTCTCTCCAATAACAGGTCACTTTAGGTCTCTAATTTAATTATTTATTCTTATTGTAGTCACTTTTTTTTAAAGCTTAGTATGTTGCTCAACTGCATGATATACCAACAGGTTCCATGAGTCTGAAGTTTATTAGCATAAACCAAAATGTATGCTACAACCACACTGTAAAAGAAGGGCTTCTAAATCAACTACCCTACACACAGTTCTCTGAAAACAAAGTTCTAAAAATCTTTAACTTGCATGGTACATGGGGGGTATGAATCTATAGCTCTTCTAAGTTTTTTCTTCCCAGTTCTGCTAAGTGAAAACAAAAGTCATTATCAACGTGTACTTGAAAAGACGAAAAAAAAAGAAACTAGAGACACGCCTGCTGGGTATAAGAGCTCCACCCCCAAAACTCAGGGCGAATATCCTTACCAGTCCTATAATAAGATCTGCATTCTGGTCTGTCCTCATCCGACATACCATGTTAATCATGGAAAGCATCAGCTAAAACTGGTTTAAAAAGAGTCCGAGGTGTTGCTCATACGCCCCGACTTCAGAGACTGAGGGTTGGGATTTTACATGACCCTAAACGTGGCCTTACGGAGAGTAATAGAGAGAGGGAAAAAGGAGATCAGTGGCAAAAAAAA